AGTAGTATTCCATTGTATAAATATACCACGACTTCTGTATCCAGTCATCAAGACATTTTACGTTGTATGTCTAGTAGTGAGGAACTGATTATGCTCATGTTTTGTTAATGTGAGAAGATGCATACTTTATGGTAGCTTGCCTAAATTGTAGACCTCAAGGGAATCTCGTACAGAACTGTAGTCTTTTACTTGCTTGCCTTCCCAGTACAAAATAAGGTTTTTTTAATCACTAGCATTTATTAAGTATTTTAGGTTTTTTTGGTCTGGGTAGCCAGCATTTGTTAAGGTGACTGATACACAAAAAGAAATAGCTTCTCTCTCTTCAGTCAGTAACTTGTTGGGAATGGGGAAAAATATTGTGTTTGCAAGTGACAAAAACTGAAAATACTTGGAAGTAATTTTTAGCAAGAAAAGCAGCAGATCTATTTGATAAAGTTGGTGGTTCAATACAGTGGGAAAAGATGAATTACTGAACAAACTGTGTTGGCACAATTAACTATTCATCTGGAATTAACTGAAATCTTAAAACATGAAAAAATAACTTCCAGATGGATTAAAGACTTAAATTTAAAAAAGGAAACAGTAAATCTTAAAGAAAAAACTGAGAGACTTCATGTACAATTCAGGGGTTGGGGAAACCTTATCGAAGTCTATAAATTCACAGTCTGTTAAAAAAAAAGATACACATACTGGGCTGCACACAAAAATAAATAATTCAGTGGGAAAAGATCCCCTAAACAAAGTCAGTAGAGATGCAGTAGATTTGGAGAGATGACTAGGGTTCGTATCTGTAATGGACGAGTTCTTTAAATATTTGACAAGGCAAGCCATCCAGAGAAAAACTGGGCAAAACAGTCACATGGGTAATTTACAAGAGAGCAAATACAAATTGCCAACAAACCTATGAAATAATGTTCACAGTTTAGCAGTTAGTGAAACACTAACTGAAGTAACAATGATATGTCACTGTATTAATTTCCTTTTGCTGCATGACAAGTTACTACAAATCAGAGTTCTAATATGACTCAGTTTCTTTGGGTCAGGAGTCAGACATGGCTTAGCTGGGTCCTCTGCTCAGGGTTTTGCAAGACTGTAGACAAATACGGCCATCTGTTTCTTTTCTTTTTCCATTCTTTTCTCTTTCCATTCTTTTTCTTTTCTAATAAGTATTGGCAGCTACGTTCCTTTCTGGAACTCGGGATCCTTATCCATAGTCACATGCTAGTTGGCAGAATTCCATTCCTCTGGCTGCAGAACTGAGGTCCCCATGTTCTTGCTGGCTTTCATTTGGGGGTCACTTTCAGATCTTAGGGGCCCCCACAGTTTCCTGTCTCATAGCTCCTCATAACATGGCGTCTTATTTGTTCAAAGTTAGCAGGCAAGTCTCTGGCTCCAGTCTGCTAATAATGGAATATAATCATCATAATCCTAACAGTGACTGTCCTATCACCATTCCTATATACTTTTGAATAGAAGCAAGTCACAGATCCTCCCAACACTCAAATGATGTGACTCATTGTAGGGGTCATTTTAGAATTTTTCTTTTCACAGTCACTTCATATCCATTAAGCTGGAAATGATTTTTTTAAAAAGCATTTATTTCTGGGAGCAGGCAAGAGATATGTGTAAGAAAGGGAACTTCTGTCTATGACTATTAGAAAGGAGACTTGCAGCCCTTGAAGTATCTTTTAAAACTAGATAAACTCTTTGACCTAGTAAACCTACTCTTGGGAATCTATTTTATGGAAATAAAGCCTTCAGTATTCAGTGACATACAATACCGACATTTATTGTAGCATCATTAGCTGTGTCAGAAAACTGGAAGCAAAATGAAATGTCCATCAGTAGGGGGAGTGGTTGGATAGAGCATGCTACACCATGGAATATTCCACTCCTCCATAGAAATTAGCTAAGTACCAAGTGACGTGGAGGAATTTGCTAGAGATATGGTTGAATGAGGTAGGCTAGATGGAAAAGAATTAATCTAGCTCTCTGGGAGGACAAAAAGTATCCACTCCCTTGTATATATATTTTTATGTGTCTATGTTTGTAAAGAAAAATATGAAGTGATGTGTACAGGGTTTTTCACATGGGAGAGGCTATTGATGAAGATGGAAAGAGGGTGCCAAGCAAAAGGAGAAGAGGAAACATCCTCTTCTTGCAAGTCCATTGTGTGTGGTACGGTCACATTTGTGTATTTATGTAAAACTTTGTGTCTGTGTGTAAGTAATATTTAAAAAAACCCTGTGCCCTTAAAATTGACTAATGTATGGAAATATTTCTGTTTCTTTGTATAGAACTTTCAAAGTGCATGAAGAATATTTACAGAATGCTTCATTTAGCTATTAGGTTTTCTGTTGTCAAAATGTAATTATCTTAAAGTCAGTAACTCATTTAGCTGCCTTGAATACAGAACAGTGTAGCAAAAAAAAAAGAGCAGGGGTCAGGGGTTCTGGAAATAAGGAATAGATATTGTTTAGGCTTTTTTTCTTTATTTAGCCCTCCTAGGATTTGAGCAAATAATAAAGCTGTGATGTCTAGTTAAAAAGTTGTTACTATGTCCAGAGCTAAATAATTTATTTCAGTTTCTATAATCAAAGTTCTAATTTTGACTAATCTTCTACAGTGGGGGTTTTTGAAAACGAAATGGAGCATCTAATTTTTAAATGTTTTTTCTTCTAGTGTCTTTTTCTGAAGAAGAGAAGTATCAGTTACGAAAATTCATCAATAAATCTTACCTGCTGGACAAGAGAGCCCATCGTCAAGTGTACTACAGTTTGATTGATATCCTTCTGGCCTATTGCTACGAAACTCGTGTCACTGAAGGAGAGAAGAACGTAAGTGCGCGAGTGTCTGTGTGTTGGCATAGACTGTCGTATGAGTAAACTGTATTTTTTTTGGGGCGGGGGAGGTAATTAGATTTATTTATGTATTTTTAAATTATTATTGTCGTTATTTTTTTTAGTAGAGGTACTGGGATTGAACCCAGGACCTTGTGCATGCTAAGCACATACTCTACCACTAAGCTGTATCCTCCCTACTACGAGTAAACTGTGTTAAGGTCACAGGTAAGACCAGTCATGGTTAGTTATTTAGGGATGCTCCGGGCAGAGGTGCACAGGTGTGTTGGTGGTGGGTGCCAGTGTGAAAGCATAGTGCTTTTATTTGGTCTTTTTTCAATCTTCCATGGTGTTAGTCTCTACCAAATAGCAGAGTGGGGAAGTGAAGCTGAGGGACGAGAAGGATACCCTGAGCTCTCATCTCTTTTAGGAGATGAGTTGACCAAATGAGAGGGCTGTTGTCACATGACACTTAATATTGGCAAGGGGTAAACTTCAGCATACTCATTTCCTGTCATCTCAGCCATCAAAAATAGCCACTGTTACAAGGTGCTGTTTATCTTCTGGGCTTCTTTCATTGTGCACATGTACACATGTGTGTTTACATTGGGTCATAATGTATATACTATTATTTAACCTGCTTTTCTCACTCAGCGTTTATAGTCTTTCTATGAGCTATTCATTAACAGATGTAATGTTTAGTATTTTATAAATAAAGTAATCTGAGCAGTTATCTGCAGGTGTCCCTCAATTTAAATCATATGTGTACTTCTGAAAAATTGTTTGCAAACCAAGAGTTAAAAAACCTGAATCATATCCTTTTGATCTTCAATGAAATCCTATAGTAAAAGTAAATCCTTTTGTGAAGAAAACTGATGACGTTTCTTAAATAATCTTTTTTTAAAAATATAGATTGTATTGTGGTTCTTCTTAAACCACACTTGATTTTGTGAATGAAGAGCTAAACTTCTTTCTCACCTATGTCACTAATTGTATACATAAAAAAAGACTGGAAAACCAAAAAAAAAATTTTTTTTCCAGTTAACATGTTCCTCCATCTGTTTCTGACAGTCATTGCTCAAGGGGTTATTTTTGAGCTGTGCATATGCTTCCCTCTTTTTCATTTATTTGTTAAAAAATTTTTTTTGAAGTTAAGTTGATTTACAATGTTAGTTTCAGGTGCACAACATAGTGATTCAATATTTTTATACATTATACTCCATTTAAAGTTAGTATGAAGTATTGGCTCTATTTCCCTGTGCTGCACACTGTTATCCTTGTAGCTTATTTATTTTATGCATAGTAGTTTGTACCTCTTCATCTCATACCTCTGTCATGCCCCTCCCCCTCCCTCTTTTTAAATTACACAAATAATTCATATCACTGTGAAGGAAAATACATACAGGAAAAAAATGATCAAAATTTCCCGTCATCTCAGCTATCAGAAACAGCCACTGTTACAAGGTGCTGTTTCTCCTCCAGGCTTCTTATGTACATGTACGCATGTTTATTTACTTTGGATCATAGTGTATTTACTGTTATTTAACCTGCTTTTCTCACTCAACATTATAGTATTAGCATAGCGTTAGGATTAGGATTTGATATGTGCCACATTTTTTGCTTTTATGATTCTGAAAATTTCAAAGGTGACTCTTGAGATTTGCATTTGACTCCAGAATGAATATTAATGAGCGCATCAAGGGCAGACTAAGATTGAAAATGGATTTTGTTTCCACTTATCTTTTTAGGATATTATAATTGGAGAAAATGTTTTCTTTGACCAACAAAGTACCTCATATTGCTTGAGAAGATGCGTCAGAGTGTTTAGTTATGCTCAATAAGACAAAGCACTTTTGATTCTTGTATTCATGTGTTTGCAGTGACGAAGTCCTGCAAGTTCAAGATCTTTTCTAGAATGTACTTACTCTCACAAACGCTCTCTGAGAGGTCAGATTCTTGAGCAGCTTTTTAAGTGCCACAGAGAGGTCTTCAACATTATCTCTGAGTCCTTTGGTAGATTATTTATAGAATGTTTGGGAGACAAGTAACTTAGTTGAGAAGGACAGAAATTGAGCACGCATTGCTTTGCTTTAGTTTCAAAGCCCTTGCTTATGGGCTCTTGTGTTCTGGTATTCTTATCCGTGCAAAAGCTTTACTTTATAAAATTCCAAGCAGAGTAGACAGAAACTTGGCTTTTGATCACCTCTACATCAGTAAAGCCATTATTTTTCCGCAGTCACAGACATTTCTTCTTTCTTTCATATCTCAGTACTAATCAGATACTAGTTGAATAAATGGATATATTTGCTTTATTTTATTTTTGAATGACTTTACCCCTAATGTATTTTCACTCCAAAACAAATACAGGTCGAATCTGCATGGAATATCAGAAAACTGAGTCCAACACTGTGCTGGTTTGAGGTACGATTTTTAGTTGCAGTTGTTTAGATTTTGTGTGTTCAGATAGTTATTTTTTGTTGTAATTAATTTTGGGTAATTCCAGCAATTCCTTGATTTTTAAAAAGTGGTAGCTTTATTGTACAAGTTTTCTTTTCCCCCATCTTTTACTGAAATATTGATTCCATTTTGTTACTCTTATCCTAATCATACTACACAAATGAGCCGGGTAGGGTTTTTTTGGAAATTGGGAGAGGGAGAACACACTTTAGGGAAGGAGTGGGGACAGGGTCTGCTGGGGGAGGATGTGGGGTAGAATTTGAGGCATATATGTAAGTTGGCATATGTTGGGGCGCAGAGCTCAAAGATGGGAAACAAACCTAGGTGGTAATACTATTTGCCTCTTACCACCAGGGGCTCTGCTAAGCCTTTTATATTTATGACTTCACCTTTCAATAATCTGTGAGATTAAGTGTTACTGGTATTTTACAGATAGAGAAACTTAGATTATATAGCTTAAATAACTTATCCTAGGTGCTACAATTAGTATGTTTAGATCTGATAACTCTTCTAGTATGGGAATAATTGTCTTTGTATCTATTTTGGAGAAAATAGTTGTGTAGGTATCACCAAAAATATCAAAAGATGGTAGCTTTAAATTTACTAGATTTGAACACACTGTTGTATATCAAAACAGTAATTAAAAACAGAAGCTTTAAAAAAGTGTTTATTGAAACAATTGATGGTTACATATCTATTCAGGCAAGTAGTTTTGTTTCTGGTTTCTTTTTTTTTCCCAGCCTAAATCCATATAGTGTACATTTTAAGTTGGAAAATCAAAGTTGTTTCATGGTATCATTTTGTTCAAGTAATAGATAAGATGTAAACCAGAACTGAAACACTTAACTTTATTAGAGAATCTTACTAGTCCAAGAATGTCCATGAACCAACAGTTCAACCAATAGCCTCTGCCGGGAGCTTGTTAGAAAGACAGAGTCCCAATCCAGACCCTTTGAATTAGAATCTGTAGCAAGATTGCCAGGAATTCTTATACATATTTACAATAAAGAAGTTCTTTTCTCTGGACTTCACTTGGTTTCTACGTATTTCCATGATCAGCATATAATGGAGAAACTGACTCTTGTAATAATTGCACTAATTACTTATTAATTAATTAACTTCATTGAAAACAATGTAGTTGGTGACTAAATAATTTCATA